ATGTAAAAGCATAAAAAACATGCCGCTTTTTCTACCTAAAACCTTAGGCAGGAGTGCTATGTAGCTCCTCAACAACTTCTCTACATCGAAGTGGTAGAATTGCCAGTGGTAGAGAGGAAACTCGCATCATACCAACAGAGGAGACGATCGGAACAAGCAGGGCACTCTATAGAACTGGGCTCCTGAAGCCATAACAACTGACTTGTTGTGTGATATTGTGTGATGAGTGTAAAGGTTCCTGATGCCAAGTACAAAGTCTGCCGGGAGACCCTTATATATTTGCTGTCGGCATCTTCACCATAGGCGGCTTCAGCCTAGATCCATCAACCAAACGTGGCCTCAAAAGTACATTCTCAACATCTTTGGCACTGTTTAAAGGTGACTGACAACGTTTCATGATGAATTTCACTAGTTCGGACTTCCATTGTCTACTATATAAAATGATTTGAAATTCCTGAAACAACTAAAAAAGAAGAATGTAAAATGGATAGCTGAAAATAACAATTATACCAAGCAAAATAAACCTGAAATAAAATAATAGTGAAATAAAATACAAGTAAAATAGAACAATTGAACAAAAATAAATAAAAATAAAGAAATGAAAAAAAGAGGTTCTTCAGAAGGGACGATACACAAAGATGTACGGGACCCTACTGCATCAATCGAAAGGAAGTTGTACCAGATTTTGGAAAAACACCAAGTCTATTTTTCGGTCAAGGAAAGATCATCGCTAACAACGCACCACAGTAAGCCCCCTCACTTGTATGGACTGCCCAAAATCCACAAGAAGGACGTTCCACTTAGACCGATCATCAGCTCCATCAGCTCCAGATCTAGATTTTTACTTCCCTTAATACAACCATTACAAGGAAAAACATCGTCTTTTGTGACGTGGAAAGCTTTTATACCAACGTTCCGGTCGAAGAAGCACTCCAAATCATACAGAGAAAGCTATCCGAAGACGGGAACCTGAAAGAGAGAACGAAAATCTTCGGGCGCGCTGCTTGGCTTTGCGTTCAGCGCTCGCGGATCGAATCTTGCCGACTAACTTGCGGATTGACTGGCCTGCGGACAGATAGACAATCATGAATAATCGATGGGTGAGTAATAATTGTTTATTGCGCTGGGTGTGACGAGTTAACGTTGCTGTATTTGTTCGTCGGCGAGTTCTACGTAAAACTTGATTATAGTACGCGGAATGAATTGAAATCATTCGTAAAATCATTTGTGGAATATTTTATACAGATTTAAGGATGAACGAGTATACAGTATTTAACGAAAGAATACAACAAGAAATTATTAGAGTAACGATGGGAATTTTGGAGAGCTGCGACTGAACGTAGGACTAAACCAATAGTACGAACACGGCCAAGACGTATAATTCAACAAAAACAAGAGAAATGATATGAGTGAGATGAAATATATGATGAAAGATATGAACAAGATAAAATATCGACAAGATATGAACTGGATATGAACAACAAGATATGAACAACAATATATGAACGATACGATACAAACAAGACATGGAGAAGATATCAACAGGATATGAACAATATTTGAACACGATATAATCAAGCATACATGAACAAGATGTGGACAAGATATGAATGAGATATGAACAACGAGATAATTATATGAAAGAGATAAAGATATGAACGACAAATTGCCATTCTTGGACGTATTGGGTGAAGAGGACCAATACTATATGGGAAACATCTGTATACCAAAAATCCACTCACACGTGACAGTATCTATATCACGAATCCAACCACCATCAATTTACCAAAAGAGGAATCATCAACACTCTGGTGGATGGTACTTTCGGGTTCTGTAATACGAAGAAAGGTCTCGAGAAGGAACTAGGCATCATCAAAAAAGATCTTACACGGTATGGTTTCTCCAAAGTGAAATGGTTTCTCCAAATTGAAGGCGGAACAGATTTTGGCCAGAAGACAGCAAGAGCCTCACAAGGAGGAGAAGCCGTAACAACCAGTGCTTGCCCTTCCCTATGTCAGAGGATTGTCCAAGTACAACATGAGAACCTGATTCAGATCCGGAAACACCATTCGTAGTAGCCTGACGAAAACCAGTCCACCAAACGCGGAATGCGATTCCAATAAATGCATTTACCGGATACTCTGTGAGTGCGGCAAATTCTATATCGGTGAAACTTAGAGGCCATAATTTCATTTATTTTTCAGAGATTTCAATTCATATCAGAATCATATTAGACATATGATGGAATTGGCCGATACTTAATGAAAATCCACAACTAACGTATTTAAAAAAACACTTTTTTGTGAGATTTTCACTAATCAATTTTACAAAAACGCAACACGTGTTTCGCCATACAGTGGCTTCTTCGGGTGTGTCTTTACAAGATGAACAAGATGAAATATATGAACAACAAGAGGAAAGATATGAAATAGATGAAATATATGAACAAGATAAAGTTATGATTAAGATTGAAGATATAAAACTATACTAATATTATAAATGTGGAAAGTTATGAGGATGGATAAATGTATGAATGTATGTATGTATATTTGCGCACTGGCTCTGCCTTAGCAGAAATCATTGTTTATTAGCACTGAAATTCTTTTTCTCAGCGAATATAATACATTAATTTTCTTACTTAGCTATCCAAAGACTGGCTGAATGCTTATGCCTGTTAGGGTATGCACAAACAAAAATAAATTTTGGTAATTATAAAAATAATAATGGGAATTATTCTACTTTGGACCAAGGTCCTTAGTCTTCCACCATATCCACCATGTATAATAAAATTCAATACAAATGAAAGGAAATAACACTTATTGTGCTCATTGTTTTCTACTATTATTTTTTCTATCTTCACGGCCTGAAATTTCTCAACTTTTTCAAGCCGAAAAAACAGCAAAGAGTTGGGACTTTTGTAAAATTGTCAATTCAAAATTTGTGGACTGTTCAGGACTGTTCCCTTACTTGGGAGAAATTAAAGTTTTCAATCAACTCAGAATTTGAAAGTATGGAATCTCCAAGTTATGCATGTTGGGAAATCCCAACCTTCTTCTGGTTCTTTCCCTTTTCTTATCATCTCTCCCTTTCTTTTTCTCATTTTTATTTTTTTTAATTTCTATTCATTTTTTTACTATCATTTTTTTCTATCTTCGCGGCCCAAAATTTTCCAACTTTTCCCCAAGTCGAAAAAGCAGGGAGGGAAACTTCCCCCTATCCCCCCCCCATGGCGACGGCGATGGTGTCAGTCAATCAATAGGTACCCACTTATACAATAAGCTGTTCCCCGCTGTTTTATCGTGGAAACCTACCCAATATGCTATTCCAGGTCACGATCTATTTATATACCACTCATATTTTCATTCATTGAGCTGTTTAGGCATGAAAAAGTAAAAAACGTAAATACATACATTACATTCATGCATCTTCCATAACGCATTCACAATATTTGTAGGAATAGGATTACCAATGTATTTCAGTCTAATGCTTTTTTTTTTCTGATGCTATTCAATATTGTATAGGTGGATACCTATCGATTAAATGACAATCTTATATTAACGTACAGTCGAAGCTACTGAACCTAGAATCTTGACATATGCAGGCAAGTTCTTTGTATAGCGTAAATAAGCATCAAGGATCCGTATTAAGAATTTCCACCCCGAAGGGGGAAAATAGAGGTTTGAAGAATGTATTGAATTTTGTCAGTTTTGAAGTTGGCAACCTGAAATTTTAGGTTAATAAAAAAATATTGTAATTTTTTGTTCAAAATGGTCTGCCACGAAACTTAATGCGACAAACCAAATTCTACGCAAGCGAAGCCATAACTAGTAAGATGAATAATATGATGAAGCAATGATATGAAATATATGAACAGAAAGAGGAAATATATGATTGAGATACAGCAGAGTATAAAGGCAAGACCTAACTAACAGTGTAAACATGCTCAAGAGAAAAGATTCAACAGGAAGAAGAAAGATTCAACAACAACATTGAGGAAAGTTGAAAACCAGAAACCGAACACAGCGCCTTTATCATCCAACACAAGACAGTGCTGTTTCGACCCTTCATGGGTCTCAACAGTAGTGCTAGGGTGAACCACAAATGCATTGCTGGACTAAACTTGAAGAAGAAGTAGTCTGAGTAAATGAAGGCGATGGCATCTCCTCTTAAGACACCACCTATGATCAAACACACAACGAATTTTCAACTTGTTGCTTTGCAGTGAGAGCTGTAGTGAAATACAGAGGACGAATCTTGTCGGCCGTTGACATCGAAGCTTAGTTTTGCAACTGACCGCTTTGGAGAGCCTCGTTTGTTTTCGATATTCGAGGATTGAGTTCTCTGTCGTTCCCATAGATGGCGTCTTTGTATGGGGAGATGTTATCGCCCTGCACATCCGATCGTAGTATGGATATANCATATTTTGTACAATTTCTTCATAATTTGGTGCTTTATCGTTACCTAGGAAGTTTAAGTCAATTAATTTACAGAAAATTATCATGTCAGCAAAATTAGCTTGTTGAACATTTGGGTTTTCGTATTACTGCAAAACCCTGATGATAGAGACATTACCGCCTTAGTAGTTTCAGAAGATTTCTGGGGAGTGAAAAAGCACAAAAGTATACAGTACATTCTTAGCAACACGCCTAGCAACAATTTCATTTATAATTTATGTGAGTAGTCATTTTGATTGTTATAAGTTGTTTTACTTGTTTCAATATATGTTTTTGTCATCTACCTATAAAGTTTTGACAAGTTGAAGAATACCTCAGCCACCTCGTTTCCTCGATTGAGACCTACGATGGCCACTGTAATCTGAATCATTATATGGGAGACTTGGGCTGTCAGACGATTCGTCGTGTCTGTATCTGTTTTGGTAGATGATGGGCACATACACCAAACAAAGAAGCTGGAATTATTCAGGCGGGAGATCGAATTAGCCCACTGAATTTGTACCTTACCTAATCTAACCTAACCTAGAAGAACACTCCTTTACAAACCTATTATATTGCCACTCTTCGGAGGTTTCGGCGGAGGATCGACAGCGAACCTAGTTTTTTGGTTCGGCTTCTTTGAGGCAGGCATTTGGGACGGATTCGGAGGAGAATAATCCGGAGGAGGTTCTTCTACAGGCTCGATCCTTTGATTCCTGCTATCATCGAATCTAGTATTTCTGTATTCACTATCATATCTGAAACAATAAAAAACTACCAGTAATTGAGAAAATTATTTGCCGACTTCTTGCAACCTGTAACATATTGAATGAAAAAATTTACCTTGTCCTGTCCTCCACGACCCTTTGTCTCTGTCGTTCGTTTTTCGTCCTTCGTGGGGGTGTCGGGGTGATATTGATAACTTCCCTCTTCGGAGAAATTCTTGTCGGTCGGGAATAATCTGGAACTGGCGAATGATGGGGTCGGTAATCGGGTAGGGGTGAGTTGGCAGGCTTATAATCGGGGATGGGGGATTGACGACGTTGGTGCTCACTTGGGTAGGGAGGGGAAAGGTATGGCAAGGGAGAACGACGATCCATGTACTGGTGTTCCTGGCGTTGTTCTGACCATTCGGTGATTCCTGCGACAAATAATTATATATCACTATGAGCTATCGTTACCATCGGCTATTTCAAAGATGGTTTCAAGATGGTCTTCTGATTTTTGAGTCTATTGAGGAAGGAAGATTTAAATGAACAGTCTACTATCAGAGACTATCAAGAGGTCTTTAATAATTACAAATAAGCAGAGATGGCAGTCCATCATCTAAGGTCTTTGGTGAAGACACTCACCCAAACAACTAGTACAAAACTGGTTGGCAATCTAGGTGTATCCGGGAGGAGGAATCCAATCCTTCCCCCAATCCCGGGGAAAGGGTTGTGGCGAGGGCCGCAATTCTACACAAAGAGTAGAATTTTGAGATAATGCTTATGCTTTGTTAGATACTGATGAACCTGCGCAAAGGAGGTTGATGACGAGAATGTAAAAGCATAAAAAACATGCCGCTTTTTCTACCTAAAACCTTAGGCAGCAGTGCTATATAGCTCCTCAACAACTTCTCTACATCGAAGTGGTAGAATTGCCAGTGGTAGAGAGGAAACTCGCATCATACCAACAGAGGAGTAAAGGTTCCTGACGCCAAGAACAAAGTGTGCCGGGAGACCTTTATATATTTGCTGTCGGCATCTTCAGCATAGGCGGTTTCAGCCTAGATCCATCAACCAAACGTGGCCTCAAAAGTACATTATCAACATCTTTGGCACTGTTTGAAGGTGATTGACAATGTTTCATGATGAATTTCACTAGTTCGGACTTCCATTGTCTACTATATAAAATGATTTGAAATCAAGACCATGTTTGGACCCATCAACACAACATCGAGTGATCCCAAGCTGAGATCTTGCACAGAGAGGAACATTGGTTTAGGAGAAAATTCAAGGAAGCCGCTTACATGTTTTCCAACAACGTATTCTGCCAAGCTACCGTAGAAATACGCAACATTTGGAAACCCATCATCAAGCGAAAAATGGCTAACTCCCGCCAAACGGTCATCTCCCACGCAACCAGTGAAGCGGAAAATGGAAAGCGGGGATAAGTGAAAGTACTCGAACGACCTATAAATATTCATCTCTCGGAGGAATCAGTCCAGTCATCACCAGAAGACGATTGTAAATACTAGCAATCGAAACGTCGTGAGCTAACGTGCCTTGGAATCTCTCAACTTTTTATTTTTATTTTCATTTTTCATTTCTTCATTTTTATTTATTTTTGTTCAATTGTTCTATTTTACTTGTTTTTTTATTTCACTATTATTTCATTTCAGGTTTATTTTGCTTAATATAATTGTTATTTTCAGCTATCCATTTTAAATTCTTCTTTTTTAGTTGTTTCAGGGATTTCAAATCATTTTATATAGTAGACAATGGAAGTCTGAACTAGTGAAATTCATCTTTGGCACTCTTACTCACTTTTTGGTATTGAAGAGACACGGATTTATTCTATCGGATAAAAAGTAAATGTTGTATTGGAACTATGCAGATGTTCAATAATGATGTTCAACTGAGCCAAATAAGCCTATAGTCTGTGCGTGTTATGAAAAGACCAAATAAACTAGCTAGACATTGCTAGATAGCAAAATGACATATAGATTACAATAACTTTTTGGCTGAACTATGCGCCAAAAGACAAACTAGAATTGAGATATTCTGTTCAGAATTACCAGAATTCCAAATTACGACTATAAGATCGTGACAAGCGTCTCACCTTTGAAATAACCACCCGTATGGTTCCTGTCTCTTTCGGGTTCAACAGGACTGTAAACGCGAGTAGTCTCCTTGATAGCTGTCACGTAACTGTTGTGATTAACCGGATCCGCTCTTGCTGGTTGCGATTTGATAGTGACGTTGAAAAAACTCGTTTTGGGAGGTTGTTCCTCGTCTTCCACCGTCGAATTGTTCGATGAACGAGATTCGCTCCCAAAGTGATGCTCCAACCATTTGGAAGTTTCCACTTTCCTCGTTTCTTCTTCTTGATCGAAGTCCAAAGGTTTGCGGGTGAGGGCGTCTTTCCTGTCGAGGGGAGAGATTCCTGCGTCATTTTCCAGACCTTCAACAATATAGAAAACAGTATTAGAAAATAAGTTCCAGGTAGGAAAATGGTATGCACAAATTTTCAAAAAATCTATTTTGTGGTATCTTCATCAACCACCCCACAAAAATATATCTAACAGACCGCCACATAGTAAGTGATCCAATCCTAGTAGAAAACCATATGCAAGAAGGTTCTAGAAAAGTTCACGGCTCCAGTTTTATATGAATCCAAAGCACTGACAGAGATTCTCCATTTCTTTTACTAGGGTTAGATACACGTCTGTTAAGTTGGAAGATCTCCGGTTAATCTTCAACCATTCCTGAATGGACCAGTTAAAGCCATAAATAGTAACAGTATTCATTACTTTGAAGATTGGATAGCAGAGTGGAATATTTAATGTCACAAAACACACACGTGTCCTTTGGGATTTATCAGACGTGTGTGAATACGTGCATTTTGGACACATCTCCAGATAGGTACGATTTTGAAATGAAATTTGGAGTGATACTTATTAATCACAGTTCAATTTGATAGATTCGATATGAAGTTCTCTGAACAGAAATCACTTCTCAAAGGAAAACTTGCTAGAAGGAATTGTTTTCAGTAGTTCTCAAATAAATAATTCATCTTAACTATACATATATGGTAAAAAATCATTCGAAACGCTGAAGTCCTTTGAGGAGAAGTATAGGGCTAACAGGACTCTTCGTTTTATAAAAATGCAAAATCTGAAAATTCATCTTAACTATACATATATGGTAAAAAATCATTCGAAACGCGAAGTCCGATGAGGAGAAGTGATGGGGCAAACAGGACTCTTCTTTTTATAACAATGCAAAATCTGACATTTCTTTTTCACAATATGTTGTATAAACATCATTTAATTAACAATTTTTTAAGACAAAATGTTACGAATGAAATTAAAAACTTTTTCCACATCAGATATAAATAATCCTCTCTTGATGCGCGGATCACTAACCATATTAACATAATCAGGATATGACAAGAGAAATAGTGCTTCAGTTCTGGGTGTGGAAAGTATTTGAACTATCGGTGAGGATCAAATAGGGTACCAAAAACTTCGGCATGGGACAAGATATATACTGAAATGCTTTAACCAGTAACACACATTGGAAAAACTCAGAGAGAAGATAAGGGGGTTATGATAAACGGAAAAAAAATCTTCAATAAAGCAGGGACAGTCATATACATGTCTAGTCACTGGACATTGTTCATTTAGAGGACTCCTGAACGAAATAGGGTTGTATAACGAAAACTTTAACTGCACATTCATAAGTAATCAAAATTAACTGCGCCAAAACACTTTTGAAAGTTTGTCGGCAATAGTCTGCTTCACGTCCGATTCTTCGTCTACAACTGTGGTAGGCGAAAAAAGACGATATCCGAGGTGAAAAATGCATTTGTATTCAGAAAGTCGGGTTCTAACACTTATTTCAGTGAGTTCCATATAGACCAATCCAGAGCTAAACGAACTTTGACAATTGATAGCGGCAATCTTGTTGAAGCTAAATCTGTCAAATTTTTTCAGTCTGTTTTGAGAATTTATAGGCAAATCCAAGGCAGTCGATTTCGCGTGCTCACTAGAACACATACACTTTTTTCACCGTGATTTGGCCTTTTTGCGTCTTAGTTGATTTAACTACTAGTATAGTCGAAGTAAACGATATTGTGCATATTTAAAGGTGAAGGCACTCTCAAAGGCCAAAAAACCAATACCTTGAAATGAACCGGCAGCTAAATAGTCTACGTGGACCGTAGACTTGGCGGTTCGTATTGGATAATTTTTACTAACCAACTTTTATAATTGGCCTATGTTAAACGTATGGAGCCATGGCATGGGGACCGAAAGTTCTACAAGCAACGGCCATCTAAAAATTATACCAAATACAGCGAATGGCTTGTTTAAACATCACAGGAGCCATGAGAACAACACCAACCGCGGCAATGAAATTAATCACGGGCCTGACCCCTCTTGATCTGTACGTTAAGGAGATTGCCTTGATGGCCATGGTACGATTGCGCACGGCTGGTGTAAACCTCGAAGTAGGAATGGGTCAATTGAGGCTGTGCCTGTGGCGGGAAGCGCTTACTGCGCAACCTCTGCTGCAGGCAANAATCTCAAACACTGTTAAGTTAAAGTGCGATAGAAGAAAATAATTCAAAATCAGAAAATATCTGGAGTGGAGTACCCATCATCCTCCACATATAATCAAAATGTAGTAATGCACAGAGTATAATTGTCATTAGTCACGCAAGTGATTTACAACATTAACTATCTGCAGAAAAAAATAGGCAAGTCGGCAGCTTCAACATGAAACTCACGAAGTCACAACATGTCTAATTGTTGGAATCATCAATTTAACGAACAAGTGATTGCATCACAGGATGTACGTTTAAGAACAAATACCAACTATTCGTGGCGTTAAATTCGACTCTTCATAACGCCAGTTTTAATTATCGGATCCGATGTTAAGATAGGAACTATGTTATTACATAAATTGTGCATCAATTCATAATCCTTGCGTAACTGTTACACAACAACACGCCCGAAGCTGATTTGGTCTTTTTTAAAAATATCAGATGTCATGAGACTCGACAAAGTGCGTTTCGATTCGATGTTGAAATGACTATTGTCTTTATAAAATCAATTTTATTTCGTTAACTTGAATCGAGTTGGCTAATTCTTTTAATGGAACCACTTACTGAATCAGGTGAATTTCACTTGCATGACGAATTGTTTGATTTTCGGGTGTTAATGAAGTTTTTGAATGATTTGAACCTATGAATTCTCTTATGTTTATATAGACGTCTGAAAATAGATAATTTGATCTTGTGAATTATATCTTTGTTGAGTTTTAAACGATGCAGCAATAATCATTTCCTCAAAATAAACTAGCTTGCCAACGATTTCAAACAAAATTTATGGTCGAATTACACCTTATTCGGAAAATATGTCAGTTCATTACATTGGTCTACAGTGGTTTTGTTGCCCTAGATATAAGGGGAAAGGTATGGCAAGGG